AGAATCTCCTTGTGAGGCAAAGGAGGTTTCCTGGGAGCTGGGGCTCTGCACTGCCAGGCTCAGGGGGTGCTGCCTGCCCTGCCCTGGGCACAGGGCTCATGCAGGGCCTCACACACTCACACCCAGGGCTGCTGTGTGTAAAGAGGGCAAGGTCAGGCTTAGTCCCACATCTGCCACCTCTGATCTGACCTGGAGCAGGAGATCAAGGTGTGGCAGCAGGTCCCCTGTGAATGAGACCCCAAACCATGGTGAGACCCACTGGCTGCCTCTGCTGGCAGAACTCCACAGGCCACAGTGGGATTTTATATAAAAATATTTGTCCTCACAGGCTTAGGTGAGGAGCTGAAGAGGTGGTGAGACAGGAGTTGTCCCTGAGAAATCATCCCTGATGCCCCAAGGGCTGGAGCCCCTCTGCTCTGGAGCCAGGCTGGGAGAGCTGGGGGTGCTCACCTGGAGAGGAGAAGCTCCAGGGACACCTCAGAGCCCCTGGCAGGGCCTGAAGGGGCTCCAGGAGAGCTGCAGAGGGACTGGGGACAAGGGATGGAGGGACAGGACACAGGGAATGGCTCCCACTGCCAGAGGGCAGGGATGGATGGGATATTGGGAATTGGGAATTGTTCCCTGTGAGGGTGGGCAGGCCCTGGCACAGGGTGCCCAGAGCAGCTGTGGCTGCCCCTGGATCCCTGGCAGTGCCCAAGGCCAGGCTGGGCAGGGCTGGGAGCAGCCTGGGACAGTGGGAGGTGTCCCTGGACATGGCAGGGGTGGGATGGGCTGGGCTTTCTTCTCTGGCCTTGCAGGGCACTGGATGGACTGGGAACTTCTCAGGGGAGAAGCACAGGCTGCCCAGACAGGTATAAATAAAATGGGTAGCACGGCACAGAAGTGACAACTAACACAAAGCTCTGCTCCAAAGTGCAAGTGTTTCCCTGGGCTGGGTACCCTGAGTGTTTCTTTCCAGGAAATCTTGCATGGACTCCATGAGGATGGAAGAGCCAAATGCAAGGAAAGGCAAGGTTTGAGCTGTTCCCTCGGAGGAATCAGCACTCTCCTGGGGTGAGAAGTGTAACCCTGGAGACCTTCTGCTATACTCACACAGCTATTCCCATTTCTGTATCAGAGCTTTGTTCCAGGGTGGAGCAATGGCACTTTGGAATGGATCCTCTTTTCTGTTCCATGTTCCCTTGCTGTGGAGCCCTTTGTGTAGCTCTGGCTCTGACATCTGTATTCCCTGTGTCCAGAAAAAGGTGCTTCAGGAAATCCTCTGGCTCTACCAACCCCTCTTTATCCTAAAAGGTGAATTATTTCCAGCAGGATCTGTGGTCCAGGATGAAAGCAGACAGGTCTGCAGCTGTGCAGAGCCCACACTGTGAGAGGCACCAACACTCCAGGCAGTGCCAGTGCTATGTGAAAGCTCATGGCTGAACTGAAAGGAGAAAATCCTCCCCAAACAAGCAAAAAGGTGCAAAAAGAGCCTGAGAAGGGAGGTGGGCAGAGCCTGAGAAGGAACTCCTCCAACTGCAGGAGTTGCTAAGTGTGATGAAAAGAGACAAAAAGCCTTTGTCTGCACTGCACAGGGTTGCATGGCCACCTTATCTGCTCCTACATGCTCTGGAGTCTCTTACATAAGCACAGGATCTGCAATGTTCCATCCAGCAGGAGCAAAAATAGAGCTGTGCCTCCGCCTGCCATTGCTGCAGTGGGGGCGAGCAGGGGAGCAGCCCCTCCCTGCCACATTGAGCCTTGCCACTGAAATCAAAGGTCTTTGGTGCCACAGGGTAGCTGGCCTTTCAGGTTCCCACTCAGGAGTTCAAAAAGTGATCACTGAGCTTTCTAAATGATGCAGCAAATTTGTTCAGATCTCCCCTTGCTCAGATCCCCCTGTTCAGCCCTTCCAGATGTGCAGCTGCTGCCTGTGGCACCATTCCATGCACACATCTGGGCTGGGAATGCTGAGCACCCAAGTGAGAGCTCTGCAGGAAGGATTTGTAGTCTCATTCTTGCTTACTGCAGCTTCCAGTGCTCACCCTAGATACACACCTGCCTAAAACTGTGCTAAAAGACACTGGCTCAGGAAGAATCTGCCTGGGAATCAGGCCCAGCTCCACCTTCCAAGCTACTCCCCACATTTCTGGGGCTCCTGGAGAGGAAATCAAAGCTTCCTCCCCACAGCACTGCATTGCCAGAGAAGTTGAGGAGGACTCACCCAAGCACAGAGTGTTTGACATGTTTCTCCTCCAAGTTCTGCTGCAGGGAAATGCCTGAGGCTCAAAAGAACATTTACAGTCCAAGGAAATGAAAATCTGCACCAGGATCTTTGAGAAGACCTGTGGAGAGTGACAGAACAACCCTGATATGAGAAAATGAGGTGTTTCATCAGCATTGACAAACAGCAGAAATAAAATGAGTGTGAAATGAGGGCTGCTGCCTGTGTTAGTCTGGCTGCCTGCAGCACACACGGGTGCTGGCTGGGCTGGGCACTGAGCTGCTGGTTTCATCACTGACACCTTTGCAGGCTCCTTGAGAAGTGTCTTAGAATAAATCTTATGGAATTGACAGCAACATTATTATTTTTGAACCAGCCTTCTGTGAAGGAAGACTGAGATCAGCCATGGGGCTGGAGTTAGGAAGCTTTGACACCTGCCACACTCCTTCAGCCCCACTGCCACGCCTGTGTGGAAGAGGTTTTACAGCTCTCTCTGTGAGCCAGAGAGAAGCTTGATAAGAGGATCCATGTTTGCCCTGGGAGAATTTCCTACCAAGGTCGTTGACATAGAAACCAAGAAAAAAAGAAGGAAAAATAAGAGAAATCTGTAGCTGTCTATTCCAATGAGCACTTTGTTTGTCTTTCCTGACCAATGAGTAAAGTGTAAACTTATGAGTTGTGTAAGAATGTATAAAAAGCACGCATGCTAAAATAAAAACAGGTTTGAAGCCTTCTGAAAATGGAGCATTGCTTTGTATTGTGACCATCTCAACTGTGACACTCCTGCACACCAGGCTGGGCACACACAGATGTCACCGGACAATGTGCTCTTCATTAGTGGCTCTGTGAGCAGCTCAATGAGAGCTGACACCTCATTGCAGGCCCCGTCCTCAGAGCACTCTGCGACCTTTCCACACCGTGTGAGGGCTGTTCCCTGCACAGACACCTGCTCCAGACGGGGTTTGATCGAGATGTTCCAACAAAACAGCCCGGCTGTCTCCAGGAACGCGAGGGGAGGGCTGACAACGCTGCCTGTGCCCCTGAAAACCCCAGCGATGTTTCAGGGATGCCCGGACGGGACGGACCGGGAGCGGCTCCGCGCTGCCCGCGCTCCCTCTGCCGGCACCCGAGCCCGGGAACAGGCCGGGAACAGATCGGGAACAGACTGGGAACAGCACCAGGAACAGCCCGGGAACGGACTGGGAACAGCCTGGGAACAGACCTGGGAACAGACTGGGAACAGCCCGGGAACAGACTGGGAACAGCCCCGGAACAGACCTGGGAACAGAGTGGGAACAGACTGGGAACAGACTGGGAACGGACTGGGAACAGCCCGGGAACAGACTGGGAACAGCGTGGGAACAGCCTGGGAACAGACTGGGAACAGACCTGGGAACAGACTGGGAACAGCCCGGGAACAGACTGGGAACAGCCCCGGAACAGACCTGGGAACAGAGTGGGAACAGAGTGGGAACAGAGTGGGAACAGACTGGGAACGGACTGGGAACAGACTGGGAACAGCCCGGGAACAGACTGGGAACAGAGTGGGAACAGACTGGGAACAGACTGGGAACGGACTGGGAACAGCCCGGGAACAGACTGGGAACAGACTGGGAACAGACCCGGGAACAGCCCGGGAACAGACTGGGAACAGCCCGGGAACAGACTGGGAACAGACTGGGAACAGACTGGGAACAGCCCGGGAACAGACTGGGAACAGCCCCGGGAACAGCCTCTGAATACAGCTCTGGGAATAGCTTTTGGGAACAGCCTTTGGGAATAGAACAGCCTCTGGGAACGGCCTTTGGGAACAGAACAGCCTCTGAATTCAGCTCTGGGAACAGCCCCGGGAACAGCCCTGGGAATAGCTCTGGCACCGCCTGTGCCTCCCAAGCAGTGCCCACGGCTCCACAAGGGACAGAGTTTATCCTACAAAGGCTTTTCCACGGGCAGAATAACAACCGTACTGGAGCAAAGGGGTCAAGCTTTCCTCAGGCACAGCCATGCTCTGGACCTCCAAGATACAACCACTAATTATTGATTGGTACAAACGTGGGAATGATTTACTCAAGACGATGTTGGATAAAGCAGCTGGGTCCCTGCTGTTTGGAGACAGATCCCTGCTTGTCCCAGAGAGAGCTGAACAGAGGAGAGGGAGCAGAACAGTGTCTCTGAACACAAGAAGCAGGATGGAAGGAGAGCCAGCACTCCATGAGGCACACGAGCAGCTCTGGGAGCAAAGCCAGCCCTCCACAGGGCACCTGGTGCAGGTATTTCATGTGCTGGTGTTTCCAGAGGCTGATTTTGGAGGGAGCTGAACCAAGAGGGGAGTTCCTGAGCACAGGAAATGGAGCCCTGGAGTGCAGTGCTAACGAGCCCTCAGGCCGAGAGGGCACTGACAGCCGGGTCTGGCAAATGGAACATGGAATCAGTGCATGGCCCTGGGGAATTCACAGCTCCTCTTCCTGAGCTCCCTGCCCGGGCCAGAGGGGCTGCTCAGTACCACAGCAGCCGCGCCACACCGGCCTGGTCTATAGTGTGCAGTAACGACCGCAACGACAGAGACAGCGGAGGCAAAAGTCTCATAAACACCCGGGACGCTGTGGCAGCGGCACAGGGGAGCTCAGAGGCGGCAGCAGGGAGGCCGCAGCCGGGACATCTCGCCCCGGTGGAGCCCGGTGTGTCTCCCCGGGCCTGCACCGGGCCCCGGCGGCACCAGGCCCCGCCTGTTGCCATGGGAACGGGCCGTTCCCGGTGTCCCCGTGTCTCGGCCCCGCCGCTCCGCGCCCGCGGCTCGATGGTTCCGCGGGGGGCGGTGACAGCGAGGGGGGAGCGCGGCCCCTTTAAGAGCAGCGCCGCCATGATCTGCCTGGTGCTGGGGCTCTTCGCCGGCCTCTTCCACAATGGTACGGAACGGAACGGGACCCGCGGCCGGGGTCTGAGGAGCAGGGACCCCCACTCCCCTTGTGCCTGAGGGCCAGGGACCTCCCTTCCCCGGGAGAGACTCCGCGGCTGAAGGCTCAGGCCAGGCCCCGCTGTCCCTGTGCCCTCTGCGGCCAGCACCGCCCTGCCCTGCCCTCCCCTGAGGGAACCTGGGAACACCCTGTGCCCCCTGGGAACCCCCTATGTCCTGTGCCCCCTGGGAACCTTCTGTGCCCCCCGGGAACCCTCTGTGTCCTGTGCCCCCTGGGAACCCCCTGTGCCTGGCACCCCCTGTGCCCCCCGGGAACCTCTGTGTCTCCTCGGCTGAGGCCCTGCCACCCCCCCTGTGCCCACTTGGCTGAGGGCCCGCAGACGTCCCCTTCCCCCTCAGAGCTCTGCCCTGTCCCTGCAGCCCTCGGCGGGGTCCATGAACGAACCTTCGTGGCCATCAAACCGGACGGGGTGCAGCGGCGCCTGGTGGGGGAGATCATCCGGCGCTTCGAGAGGAAGGGGCTGCAGCTGGTGGGGATGAAGCTGCTGCAGGTGAGGGCCGGGCCCAGCCAGCCTGGGGGTCCCTGGAGTGGAGGAGCCCCTCGGGCCCCCCAAGCCTCGGCTGTGCTGGTGACTGCTGGGGTTCTGTCTGGTGTCACTCCAGCACCAAATCCTCGCAGCTCAGAGGAGAGCTGGCCCTGGGAGGGTGATTCCAGCTGTGGGGAGCATGTCTGCCCTTGTCTGTGCCCATACTCCAGGCTGGCACTGTAATCCAGCAGCTGGAAATGCCTGTCTGTGTCAGGCTCCTGCTGTTTCACTCCTGGAATTGGGCATCTGTGCAAGAGCTTCATTCTGTTGATTTCCTGCATCCCTGAGGTGCAGCCCTTGCCCGGGTGCCCCTGAGGGAGCAGACTGAGCTGTGTGCTCTGTGCAGGCCTCGGAGGAGCTGCTGAAGGAACACTACAGCGCCCTGCGGGACCGGCCCTTCTACGGCCGCCTGGTGAAGTACATGAGCTCCGGGCCCATCGTGGCCATGGTGAGTGCTGCCAAGGGACAGGGACACACTGCCAGGCGTGTGCCTGCTGCCACAGTGGAACTAAGGTGATATTGTTTTGCAGAGATAACCAAAAACTCCACAACTTTGTGAAAGCTGTAAAGCCAGTATGTTTATTACAGTGCTGGATGCATGTGGAGATTACTCTCCTTAAAAGACATGCACACCTCTGGGAACTTCAGGTCCCTTTTTATCCCCCTCTCAAATACATATATGTATAATTTCACAATTGGTTCACACATACTCATTTTTATGAATTTTGAGTGACATTTGCTGCTAGTTCTTCTTTATCAGAAAGAATTCCTAGGCCAGGTTGAGCTGTTCTCACAGCAGTCTCTCTTTATCACTCTCTGTCTCCCCCCCTTATCTCTGTCCTTCACTGGAGCAGTTTCTCTGAGCCTAGGCTTTGCAGTCAGGCTACATAGCTGTGTTTTCTAACTGTAGACTCAAAGATTTCACCTAAATCAAAATGGATTTCTACTCTGGAGAGTTTTTACTCTGTCTCAATATCCCCACTCAGAGGGTCTCTTGAAGCTGTTCTGAACTGCAGGGATGTTTTCTGTTGAAAATTAAATCATAGAATGGTTTGGGTTGGAAGGAATTTTAAAAGTCTTGTTCCACCCCCTGCCATGGCAGGGGCAGCACCTTCCATTAGACCAAGGTTGCTCCAAGCCCTATCCAGCCTGGCCTTGGGTGCCTCCAGGGATGGGGAGAAATCCACAGACAATTTGGATTACTTTCCAAAATCAACTTTGGAAGAATAATGTGGAGACATCCTTTGCTGTCTGTCACCAGGGTGGGGAGTTCAGAGGGCAGCTGTGACCTGTGGAAGCTGATGCTGCTTTTGCTCTCCCTTAGGTCTGGCAGGGCCTGGATGTGGTGAAAACCGTTCGCTCCATGATCGGGGAGACCAACCCAGCTGAGTCCAGGCCTGGCACCATCCGAGGAGACTTCTGTGTTGAAGTTGGCAAGTGAGAGCTGTGGCATTTTCTTCCCTCAGTGTTTCAGGGCATCCTGTCCAGGCATTCCTGTGCTAAGCTTGCCAGGAATGAGTCTGCATTCCCAGAGCAGAAGTTTTATGCTCAGACCAGAGCTGAGCTCTGCTTGCCAGGGTTGGCTTTAATAGGAGGAAGAGCCTGGGTTGTGTCTTTCCTTCCTTCTGCATCCCCTGTTGAAAGCAGGTGGGCTTTGCCTGTTTTCCTCTGCTAATCAGGACTGTCAGGTTGTGAAGAGGAAGGGAGGCTCCCACTCAGTCCTTTCATGGGAGCAGGTGAATATCCATGGCTGGTGACCTTGGGTGGCCCCAGCCTGGCTCGTGGCACACACAGCTCTTACTGAACCATCCTGCCTTAGATCTGTTTCCTGGTGTCTGACACCAAACCTGCTTTGATGGAAGGGGGAAAATCTGGAATCCCTGACATAAAAAAAGCATGTCCCAGAGCTACAGCTACTTGCAGCTCCTCCTGTAGCAAATAAAAGGCTCCTCAGCATAGGAGGGGGGAGTGTTGGGAACTGGCACTGCTGGAAGGATGAGTGGTGTGGGATAGGAAGGGATATTGTGGTGTAGGAGTGTCGGGGAGTAGGATGGTTGGGACGGAGACAGAGATCTCTGCAGCCAGGTCAGGAACTTGGGGTTTATTGCAAAGGGCCTGGGGGCAGGGCCCTGCTGGGAGCTGCAGCCACAGCTCAGAGCAGGCTGAGAGAAGAGAGGGGGAGAGAGGATGAGAGGGTAAGAGAGTGAGGTTTCCATTACAATACAATAAATCTTTTTCTGTGTTGAATATTCTGATTCTCACTAACCAATCTAGTACAAGATACAAATCCTATAGCATTTCCATACAGCCTATAAGAATCATTACATCACCACACTGTGTTACATTTTAAACTCTAAAAACTCCTCTTTAAACCCCTTCTGCCAAGCCAGTAAGGTCTGCTGCAACCCTTAGACCTGCCTGCAAGCAGAGGGTGTTGTTCCATCAAAAAGAGATTACCTTCAGCCAGCCACACCATTGGTTTCCTGTTGTTCAGTAAGAGATCTCAAAGCTTGCTTTCATTTCAATCTCACTTATAGTTTCCATATTCTCAAAATATTTTGCCAGGCAATCATATTTATAAAGCTTTCATGTCTCATCTTCCCCAACATTGTGGGACAGGACTGGCTCCATCACTTGAATGAAATTGGTCAAGGGGGAATTTTGCAGGCTGCAGCATCCCTCTCCCACCTTTCCCAGCTTCGTGAGAGCTTTCTCCTCACCCACAGGAACGTGATCCATGGCAGTGACTCAGTGGAGAGCGCCCAGCAGGAGATCTCGCTGTGGTTCCGGCCCGAGGAGCTGCCGTGCTGGGAGGACACGGCTGCACACTGGATCTACGAGTGAGCAGCAGGCCCAGGGCAGCTCATCCTCCTGCTGGGACACAGCACATTTCCATCCATCTCCTGGCAGCTGCTGGGCTGGCTGCAGATCCTCTGTGGGATTCCTCTTCTGCCTGTGGATGCTGGGAGCTGGGCTGTGTGTGGAACTCTGCTCCATCTCCTGCCAAGGGCAGCTCTTTGTTTTTTTTCTCTCTCTGCTCTAGTAAGTAGTTGGTGTTGTTGCTCTGTTTGCTGCAGCATCTTAAATCCCAAGTAGCTCAAGCTGATTAATTGTAGCAAAACTTGGGCTCTTGGCTCATTCCTGGGTGTTCTCATCCCTGCCTGGAGCAGGAGAATGTGTTTTCCTTGCTGCTGGGAGAGGTGCTGGTCACAAGGTGATGGGCTTGACAATTTACCTGCTTTTCTAGAAGGCTTTTCACCAAAGGCTCTTAAAAAATCAGGCTGATGTCGGATAAGGGAGCAAATTCTCAGTTTGGAGTTCATTCCAAGACAAGGAATGAAGGATGGGACAGTTCTCTCTCCCTTGGTGGGAGCCCTGGGTGCTGGGCTGGCAGAGCTCACCCAGTTTCTGATGTGATGAGTGAGTCCATGGAAGGAAGATTCTCCAAATGCTGCTAAACACACAATTCCTCAGGCTCTGCTTCCTGGGCTGTGGCTGTGAGTGGGAAGCAGCTCCTTCAGGTCTGCTCTGGTTCTCTGGGGCCAGAAAGACACAGAAACAGCCTGACCCTGCATGGCCCTGACCCAGCCTGACACCAGCCTGTCCCTCCCTGGTCACTGATGTGAGGCAGCAGCCACAGGAACAGAAGGGGGAGAGGGGGCAGGGAAGGGTTTGTGGATCTGGGGCTCAGATTTAGGGGAGTATTCAACTCTCTCTTGTGCACAGTCTGTGCAGTCCTGGCACTGAGCTCTGTCAAGTGCCAACATCTTCCTTGTCCCCCTGAGAGTTTGTAGAGGAGCTTTCCTGCTGCGAGGGTATCTGGAAACCAGTTTGTAACGGGCTGGACACCACCTGTGAGCTGTCCCTGGGCCACCCAGCTCCTCAGAGCTGTGCCTGAGCTCCCTGTGCAGCCTCACCACAGCACAAGGACAGGGACAGTGACATGGACCCCTGCCATGGAACAGGGACACTGTTAAACCAAGGGAACAAGATCCCAGGGCTCTCCTGTGTGCAGGATGAGCTTGACCTGTGCCCTGCAAGCCTGTCCCTCTGGGTGCTCAGCTTTGTAGGTGCTGGGGAATGGGGGCAGCTCTGGGGAAGCAGAGTGAGGTCACCCCCAGCCCTGCTCTGTGCTGGCCCCAGGTGTGGGGCTGAGCAGGGCAGGGGTGGGAGGTGTCCCCCAGTGAGTGGGGCTGTCCAGCTGCCTCAGCCAAGGCTCCTCCTGCCTTGGGGCCTTCTCCAAGCACTGTGTCCAGCTCTAAATACCTGACAGATCCCATTTGCTCCTGCAACTTGTCCACTTGGCTGAACCTGGAGTCTGGCTGCAGGAGAAGGCACTGGTGAAGACTGAGGTGGGAGGAAGGCCATGTTTGTTGTTTAACAGATGCATTGAGAAGAGCTGCTGGTACCAAGAGCTGCCGGCTCTGGCACAGGAAAACTCTGCCCAAATAGCTGAGCTTCATCTCCTGCCAGTGCCTCCTCCTGAAGGATCCCTCTTCTCCCTGTCTGCACAGACAAGACTGAGGATGCCTCCTGGTTCAAAGTGCACTGAACTCCAGTCAGATACAGACCTGACTCACTGAGACACAATCCCAGCCCGTCCTCTCCTCTCTGTGTGTGTAGGTTTGGTGTCTGCCATGATCTTGTCCTGCTCTGGGGCACGATAGGGCAGCAGCTGCAGGGAAAGGGCCCCCACAGACCCTGCCAGGAGCTGAGCTGTGCCTGCTGTTCCTCGAGCCCCTGGGGACTTTTAATTGCTTTGCATGTTGGTTTCTGCTGCTTCTCCTCTGTCCAAGACTGTGTTAAACTGTAACAATAAATGTAGAAGCTGTCTGTTGTTCCTCTTGGGGCCCTTGAAGGCAGGAGGCTGCAGGTGCTTGTCAGAAATAGCCTGGGCAGGAGTGTGGAGGGGAGGGTTGGGTGTCAGAGCTGGAGGAGGTGAAGGCAGCAGAGATGCCCCTGTCTCTGCTCTGGGCAGGGTTTTGTGCTCCCCACTGAAGCAGAAGCCTGGCTGGGTGGTGTTCAGTGGAGCCAGGCTGGTGCTGCAGCACCCCATGCTCAAGGCAGCAGAAACAACAGGGGCTGTGCTCCTGCAGGAATCACAAAACCCCAGAGTAGTTGGGGCTGGAAAAGATCTCTGGAGATCACTCAGGTTCCTGTCAGAACAGGGTCACAGGAATGAGTCCAGGTGGGTTTGGAATGTCTCCAGAGCAGGAAATTCCCTGCTCTCCCTGGGCACCTGCTCTGTGCTTTGCCACCCTCAATGTAAAGAAATTCTTCCTCATGTTGAGGGGAGACTTTTTGTGCTTTACTTTCTGGCTGTTGCTCCTTCTCCCTTTGCTGGGCACCACTGGAAGAGCTCTGCCCATCCTCTTGGAGGATGCCAACCCATGTCAGACCCTGCTTTCTGCTCCTGGGGCCTTTCCCTGGATTGCCAGCTAAGGAGTTGGGTCTGAGCTGCTGCTGTCAGCCAAACAAACACAGAGCATTTGAAAATGAAAGATGGTTACAAATTTTATGGGACAGGAAATGGCTTTTGATCTGTTCTGTCCACAGTTTTTCTCCATGTTCTCTCTTTGGACCTGTTCTCTCCACAGTTATTCTCCATGTTCTCTCTTTGGATCTAATCTCTATTTGGGCCTGTTCTCTCCACAGTTTTGCTCCCAGGTGTGTCTGCTGGGCTGCTCTCCAGCCTCTCATCCCCCAGACTGTGTCCAGCCCTGTCCAGGTGCAGGTTCCAGCACTGCTGCTGTTGGATCTCACTCAGGCTGTGCCTGCCCAGCTCCCTGTGAGGCCCTCTGGGGCTCCACAGCCCCTTCAGGTCACTGTTGTTGGCTTAATATATGGTAAATTCCTGGATTTGGAGCATTTATAAAAGCATTCAAGAGCCCTGTGTAACCCCACTGGTGACTGTCCTTTGTCCCTGCCCTGGAAAATCCAGCTCCATGGCAATAATGGGATTTTCTCCTTTCTCCCTGGATTTGGAGGGGTCTCCTTTCATTCCAGCCTCATCCCAGCTTTGCTGCCATATCCAGCCACCCAAATCATGGGATTTTGGGATTTTTGGATCTTCCTGCCCATCTGGATGTCCTAGCCCCTTCCCACCATCCCTGGAAATTCTGGGAAAACCAGGCTGGATACAGGGAAAGCCACTTAGGGCCATTCCTGATGTGACCCCATTTGCTGGAATCCTTTGAGCTTGACCTGGCAGTGCCTCTCACCCATGCCAAGGGTGGAGCCGTGTGAGGCACAGCTCATCCAAGAGAGTGCTGGAGGTGGTACCAAAGCTTTGCTAAAACCCCAAGCCACCCCATCCACTGCCTTCCCAAAGGTGGCCGGGAGGAGGAGCTGATACCTCAGAGGGACCTCAACAGGGGCAGAGGAACCTTCTGGAATCCAGAGCAGGCTCCTGCAGCTGGGGAGGAACAACCCCAGGCACCAGGCTCTGTGGGAGAGGAGTGACACTGAGTGCTCCTGACCAGCCCAGGGGGGTCCTGGGGGGTGAGGAGGGGATCCTGCCCCTGTGCCCAGCCTGTGAGGCACAGCTGGGATGCTGTGTCAGGACAGGAGGGACATGGAGCTCCTGGAGCAGGCCTGGTGGGGGCTCTGAGGATGCTGAAGGAGCTGGAGCATCTCCTTATGAGGAAAGGCTGAGGGAGCTGGGGCTGCTCAGCCTGGAGAGGAGCCCCAGCTGAGAGGGACCTCAGCCCTGGGTGTCCCTGTCTGTCCCTGGGTGCAAGGAGGGCTCAGAGCAGGGCCCAGGCTCTGCTCCAGGGCCCAGCAACGGCACCAGAGCCACGGGCAGAGACTGAGCCCAAAAAGTCCCAAATGAACACAAAAAACTTCCTTGTACAGTGGCACAGGCTGCCCTGTAGGGAGTGGAGAGAGGGAGTGGAGTGTGTTCCTGGAGGTGTTTCAGAGCTGTCTGGGCTGGCCCTGCCTGAGCCAGCAGCTGGGACCAGGTGAGCCCCTGAGGGCCCTTCCAGCTGAACCATTCTGTGGCTCTGGGCAGTCACTGCCTGAGCCTCTCCCAATGGGAATGAAGCAGATGGAGCAGGACCTTCCCCTGTGAGCCCACCCTGGCTGTGACTGCTGCCTGCATTGTCTCTCAGGGGTTTTCAGCAACTCCCTAAACAACCTCCAGGATTTCAACACTGAAGCGGGACTGACAGGCTTGTGGCATGTAGGGTCTTCTTCCTTTAGTCTGCTTGAGAACTGGGACATTTATCACCCTCCACTCAACAGAGGCTGCCCAGACTCCCCAAACCCTGAAAAACTATGGAGAGGTGGCAGGGTGACACCAGCAGTGCCCTGGGGTGGAGCAGTTTTATAAATGCTCCAAATCCAGGAATCCCATTGTGTCCTGTCCAGCCGGAGCATCCCGAACAGGTTCAGGGGCTGCTGTGAGTCTGCCATCTTCCAGCACAGGCCTGCAGCCTTATCCATGCGAGCCCCTATTTAGATATATCAGATTATTCTGTTGTCCCTTATCGTTACATTCCCTACGTCGCAAATCATTCTATGGAAGAAACCTCAGCTTCTTTAAGGGACACGAGGGGCAGGACGAACGCAGCTTCCTGGAGGTTTCACGCCACTGATTCCTATGAGGCTGCACAAACGCTGCTGTGTGAGTGAAGCGGGCTCGGGCAGCCGCTCCCTCACGGGCCGCCGCCATCTTCCCGCCCCAGCCTCCGCCGCGCGCGGGCCGCCGGGACGGGGCGGTGCCGGCGCCGGGGATTGGCCCGCCGCCATCACGTGGTGAGGAGCAGCCGTCCGCGAGCCTTTCCCGCGAGGTGTGGCCGCGCCGGCGGCCGCTGATTGGTCGCGGTGCGAGGCGTGGCCGCTGGAGCGGTCGCTGATTGGCCGTGGCGCGAACGGCCCGGCGCGAGGGCAGCACCGCCCACGTGACGCGGGCGCGGGGCCGGAGCGGGCCCGGAGCGGCGGCTGAGGCGGCGGTGAGTGAGGGCGGGCCCGGCACCGGCACCGCGGCCTCGGACCGCCCCTCTGCTCCCTCCGGCGGAGCTGCCTCCCCGGACCCCGCTCGGCCCCTGTCCCAGAGACAGCGGTGAGCGGGCCTCCGTGCAGCGGGACATCGCGCGGCCGGAGCGCAGCCCGGGCCCGGGAGGTGCAGCCCCGGCCCGAGAGGTGCAGCCCGGCCCGGTGTTCGTGCCCAGGGCTCCCGGGCCGCGTCAGAGCTAGTGTGGTGGGCTGGTTTTGTTGCCCGCAGCTGGATTTCCTTCAGCCCTTACCCATGGAGCGGTGTGGTGCGAGGAGAGAGAGCCGCGATGGAGCTGGAGCGATAGCGAGGAACTGCCAGTGCTGGAGGGAAGACTGCTACAAGGCTTGACTTCTTTCTTTCTCTCCTTTTTCTCTCTAATGATTGCAGCGAGCGCTCGCAGCACGGCCCTTTGTCACTTCCCGGGAAAACTCCGAAAGCAAAGCCCTCGTTCCGCTGCCAGCATCCTCCGTTACCCGCGCTGAAACCCCGCAGACCTCTCCTAATGCCATGGGGACGATGCCGTGAGGCCTGGTAAGGCTCGGCCATAGCCATGACAGAGCCGCACCGGGTGTCGTTCACCACTCTGCACGGGCCCCTGAGCAGCAGCTTCCTCAAGAGGTCTCGGAAGGACGAGGCGGAGCAGCCCCCGGAGGCGGAGCCGGCGGCCACGGCCGTGCGCATCACCCTGACCCTCTTCGAGCCCGACCACAAACGCTGCCCCGAGTTCTTCTACCCCGATCTCCTCAAGAGCTGTCGGGGGAAAGTAAAAGGGAGTTCTTCAGGTGACAAGGTGAGTGTCCCTGGGGGATCTGTGGGGATCTGTGTTGGAGCTGAACGTCTCCAGGGCTGTGTGTTGTGAGAGCTGGGTCTGTGTTTGCTGTGAGTGCTTCGAGGTGGGAGGAGGGTGGGTGAACATTGACCCACAGGCTGGGGTGCTGCTTGTCAGGCCATGCTGGGACACTCCTTTGCCCTGCTGGAGTTTGGTGTTGTGCTGTGGCAGGTGTGGGATGTGATGCTCGTTCAGTGGATCTGAAGTGAGTTTTGGTACCTGGGCACTGGCAGTGATAAGGAGCTGTTTTCCAAAGAGCACCAAAGGAGATATGAATGAAAACTCCTGTAGCATCTAAAGTTTGAGTTAGGAGTGTTTGTCTATGAAAAGAAACTTACTGCATTCTGTTCCTTTTACTGTTTGCCTTCAGGACTGTTAGCAGTCAGTTGATGTTTTATGCTATTTAATTTTTGGGGGGTTTTTTTGAGGGTTGTGAGAAGCAGAGGCAGGTACAAAACGAGCTGGGAAAGCACCCAAACCACAGGGACACTCTCAGAATCCCAGCATAGTCTGGCTTGGAAAGGGCCTTAAAGCTCATCCCATCCCACCCCTGCCATGTCCAGGACACCTCCCACTGTCCCAGGCTGCTCCCAGCCCTGCCCAGCCTGGCCTTGGGCACTGCCAGGGATGCAGGGGCAGCCACAGCTGCTCTGGGCACCCTGTGCCAGGGCCTGCCCACCCTCACAGGGAACAATTCCTCATTCCCAATATCCCATCCAGCCCTGCCCTCTGGCAGTGGGAGCCATTCCCTGTGTCCTGTCCCTCCATGCCTTGTCCCCAGTCCCTCTGCAGCTCTCCTGGAGCCCCTTCAGGCCCTGGCAGGGGCTCTGAGGTGTCCCTGGAGCTTCTCCTCTCCAGGTGAGCACCCCCAGCTCTCCCAGCCTGGCTCCAGAGGGGCTCCATCCTTGGGGTGTCTCCATGGGCTCCCCTGGACTCTCTCCAGCAGCTCCAGGTCCTGCTGCTGTTGTTCCCCAGATCTGGGGGCAGCTCTGCAGGTGGGGTCTCACCTGAGGGGCAGAATCCCCCCCTCCTGCTGCCCATAGCAGGGCTCAGCCCAGCCCAGGGGGATCTCTGGGTGCTCCCAGCCAGGGCAGGTCCAGCTGTCACCCTCCAGTCCCCCAAATCCCTTCCTCTCCCAGCCTGCACTGATCCCACAGGTTCCAGGTGCTCCAGCATTTGGCTTGGTTGAACTTTGTGAGGTTCCCATGGTCGCAGCCCTCCAGCCTGCCCAGGTCCCTCTGGATGCCCTCCCACCCCTCAGGTGTGTCAGCCACCCCACACAGCTGGGTGGCATCCCCAGGCCTGCTGAGAGTGCCCTGATCACACTGTCCCTGGCACTGATGAAGATGTTTCTCAGGGGGATGTTTCTCAGCATTGTCCTAAAGGTTGATTTATCTGAGCTTCTGCCCAGCTGCTCCATTCAGGATGGGTTTAATTCCTGCAGTTTTGGTGGCACTGTGACAGGATTGGCTGTCATTGTTTTACCTCCTTTGTTTCTGCAGAAGAAAGACTCAGCTGATCCCTTCAATGATGAGGAAAAGGAAAGGCACAAAGTGGAGGCTCTTGCTAGGAAGTTTGAAGAAAAATATGTAAGTGTTTTTTCTTTAAATTATGTTATTCTCTGGGCTGGGCAGTGCTGTTCAGGTCTCAGGCAGTGCTTTTAATGCTCACTGGCTCTCAAGTTCCTGTTCTCCCCCAGTCCTTTATCCTGGCTGCCATGTGCTGGTTTTTATGTTCTTTTTCTGTCTCAGGGCTGCAAAAATAGTTCAGATTCATTCTTAAATCAGATGAGTCTGATTAAAGCAAATTACATGAACTAAAGTGAGCAGCAAATCAATTACAGTGATTGATAAAATTGAGTTTTCCTTAAGTAAAAATGGATTCCCAGGCCTTGTTGCTGTGGCAGGGTGGAATGTTCAGAGTCTCTGAGCATGGGGCTGTGATGAGGACACTGCTGCATGGATCTCTTTTACCTGTCCTTTCTGTTCTTCCTTTTGCATTATTTCTGTGGGTGGCACTAAAACCACACTGTGGTTTTTGTACCCTTTGGCACTTTGGGGCAGCAAGTTGTGTGTTGTTTTGTGACACAGATTTGGCCCATGGGTCCCCTTGCCACACTCTGTGTGTGTTTGATGCCTGCAGCACTGAGTCTGAACCTGCTGGAGCACTTGGGGAAGAGCAAGCCCTATGGAAGAGAGCCCTGGCAGGATTGTTGGAGGGATGCAGGCCCAGTTGAGTGTGGAGTCTGGCTGGCAGTTTTTCATTTGGCTGCACTGTTCTGTTTCTCTATGACAAGGCTTAAAACTGGATTTACACACCCTGGGAGTGCAGTGCGATGGGAGCCAGCCCTGCTTTGCTTCTGCTGTAGCTTTTTTGTCCTGGAGCCCTGTGTCAGAGTATCTGTGGGGTGCTGGGATGGAAAAGTGATCCCAGTGCCCATGTTTGTTGTTCAGGGTGGCAAGAGGCGCAGGAAGGACCGGATCCAGGATCTGATTGACATGGGCTATGGCTACGATGAGTCCGACTCCTTCATCGACAACTCGGAGGCTGTGAGTGCTGGGGCTGGAGGTGCTGGGGCTGGGGGTGTTAGCGTTCAAAATCACATAATCATGGGGGACTATATGGGGTGCTTTTTATTAAGAGCTCTGGGAATCGGGGTATATTCAACCCAAATCTGATTCCGACCATACATCCGAAATGATCGTGTTTTATACCCTATCGTTACATAACTTTCATGTTAATTATTAAACTTATATTGCTCTATTGTATACATAAATTTAGCCCCTCTCTGACTTTCCAACATAGTTTCTCACTATTCTTCTTATGGTTATATAATAATTACATTTAATTACTAAACAATCATCACATCTAACAATTATATAATTTATCATACTGCTTACGCAGGTGCAGTTGATCTGGGAAAGCACAAAGCCTAACATTTTAGATTCTATCCTTAACTTTTTCCAGGGTTCCACTATCAGGAGTGCCTAAAGGGGGCTGAGCTACGAGGCTGCCAGGGCCAGGGAGGGAGAGCTCTGGGGCTGCTGCAGGGCAGGAGGTGCTGGTGGGCATCCAGAGTGTTCCTGGGGGAGCACAACCTCCTCATGACCAGGGACAGGACTTGGGGGCATGGCTGGAGCTGAGCCAGGGAGCTTTAGGTGGGATATCAGGAAAAGGTTCTTCCCCCAGGAACCTTTAACCTTAACCAAGAACTTTAACTATTCTTTGTCATGTATTTTTTCCTGCATGGTCAGGCACTGGAACAGCTTTCTCAGAGCCACAGCACCAAGCCTGTGTGAGCTCCAGAGCATTTGGACAACAATCTCAGGGATTGGGATTGTTGGGGTGTCTGTGCAGGGCCAGGAGCTGGACTCAATCTGATGGGTCCCTTCCAGCTCAGCATGTTTTGTGATTCCATGGATCCCACTGCATCCTCCAAGCAGCTGAGCTGTGGAATGAGGTAACCAGGTCCCAGTGGCAATGAAGTGTTGTCTGTTCTTTGCAGTATGATGAGCTGGTTCCTGCCTCTCTCACCACCAAGTATGGAGGGTTCTACATCAACTCAGGCACGCTGCAGTTCCGGCAGGCCTCTGAGTCTGAGGATGACTATGTCAAAGAGAAGAAGAAGAAGTGTCCCAAGGTCAGGAAGGAGCTTTCTCAATGATTCCCTCTGTTACAGCTCAGAGCTTGCTGCATGAAAGTGTGTTAACATCCAGAGTGGGAGAGATTTGTGACTTGGCCTGGACAGAATAGGGATAGGCACATGAAATCCCATTGTATCCTAAAATTTCTGACTAAAATGAAGCATGTCTGGCATGGATAAGACTCTGGTGGGGTTACCTGGTTCCCAGAGCAGAGGTGGCAGCAGCTCCCTGTCACTCTGGAAGTCACAGCGTTATGGGGGTGCTGTCAAATGCTGAAGGCAACACGTGCCAGAGCCATGGTGAGGGATGCAGGGGGTTGGGTTGATGATCCTGTGTTTTCACATGCCTGGGAGAGGCCCCAGAGTGGCTCAGGGAGTGCTGGGGATGTTGTGGGAAACTCTTTGACTGTGACTCGTTTTTAACCCTCTGCAGAAGCGGAAGTTGAAAGATGGGGGTGAAAAAATAAAGAAGAAGAAGAAGGATGATTCTTATGACAAGGAAAAGAAATCAAAGAAGTCCAAGTTTCCAAAAGCTGGGTAAGGAGGGGAGGAGGCAATTCTTGCTGCTCAGCACCTTGTTCCAGGGTTCCAGGTGGCTGCAGTAGGAAGCTGTGGGGTGGCTTCAATGCACAGTGCAAACACCAGCACATTTTCCAAACCCCTGTTGCTTCCCAAGTGGCAAAGAAAGGCAGGGGATGATCAGGGAAGGAGCACAGCTCCAGAGCAGCAGTGTGAGGGTCTCCACAGAGCAGAGAGAGGCACAGCTGGCTGCAGGAGTGGTGGTTTTGGAGCTCTGTTTAATGGGAACAGATCTGGAGAGGAGAGGGAAAGATAACAACTGTTGGGATGAAGCTGTGGGAGGAAAGGCAGGTGGGAAGGGCTCAGGGCTGCCAGGAGGGAGAGGTTACAAGGCAGGCTGTGTCACTGCTCTCTCTGGGCAGTCCTTTGTACTCCTGCCCAAAGTATTTCTTGGATGAGTGCTCAGCTCTTTTATAGCTTTTGGACTGTAAAATGGAATGGTTTTTCTTTTTGTTCTGAGTCATCTTGTGCTGTAGTTCTGTCCATGCTTTGATCTGCCTGGCCTGTCTCTTTCAGTATCTATATCTGTTGCTTTTCATTAATTTCTTGTATTTTCCACCTGAGTTTTTTCCTTCTTCCTTTAACTATTCTTTGTAATTTATTTTTTCCTGCATGGATCTGCTTTTGGGCAGCAGCAGCCCATGTGTCTGACGTGGTATCAGTGCGTGATTCCTTCAAAGTGAGCAAGAAAATTTGCTCTCCTGGTTTTAACATAGCAGAAAGCTTCACACTAACTCTGTCCTGCCTCAGTTCCTCTGTACTAATTGTGCATTTCCCAACCTTCCTTGCTGGAATAACAATAATTTCATGTAGCTAAGTGAAAGCAGAGCTCTGTGGAGGTGGTTTAGGCCCCAGCACCTCTCTGCAGTGAGTCAGGACAGACTTCTCTGAGCTGAGATGAACAGCCAGAAAGAACCCTGAGACTTGTAGAAGCTGTAAAATACTTTTTCTGCTGTAATTGGTTAATGAGTTTAGACTTTCCAGGGAATTGTGCCTGAAGTGAACTGGGGGACAAGGGACCCTCTCTGCTCCTTGATCTTGTATTCAGTCCCTTTCCCACCTCTACCCTTTGTTTGCAGCTTCACAGCATTAAATGCAAGTAAGGAGAAGAAGAAGAAGAAATACTCTGGAGCTCTCAGTGTCAAGGAGATGCTGAAGAAGTTCCAGAAGGAGAAGGACGCTCAGAAGAAGAAAGACGAAGAGCAGAAAGCGGTGCCCCCTTCCCCAGCAGACCCTGCAGGCCCAAGGGAGGCAGAGGCCATGGCTGACCCCCTGCTGTCCCTCTTTGGGCACGCCAGTGACAGTGACCTGCTGCAGGCAGCCTCGGCCATGGACTCCCTGAGCGAGCTGGACCTGGAGCGGCTGCTCAGCGAGTCCCCCGAGGGCAGCCCCTGCCCTGAGCTGGAGGATGGCAGCGACCCTGCCTTGGAGCAGGAGTTCAAGCAGCCCCCATCCCTCCCCGAGGGGCTGCCGGCCCCCCTGGAGAAAAGGATCAAGGAACTGGCTCAGGTACAGCAGCTCCTGGGGACACTGGGGCTGGCGGGGGCACAGCTCTGCTGGGAGGGTGGGACAGAGGGTGTGTGTGACAGGAGGGCACAGCTCTGTGTGTGTGTGTGACAGGAGGGTGTGTGTGTGTGACAGGAGCGGGGGTGTGTGTGTGTGACACAGGAGGGTGTCTGTGTGTGTGACTGGGGGTGTGTGTGTGTGACAGGAGGGCACAGCTCTGTGTGTGTGTGTGACAGTGACAGCAGGGCACAGCTCTGTGTGTGTGACAGGAGGGCACAGCTCTGTGTGTGTGTGTGACAGGAGGGTGTGTGTGTGTGACAGGAGCGGGGGTGTGTGTGTGTGACACAGGAGGGTGTCTGTGTGTGTGACTGGGGGTGTGTGTGTGTGACAGGAGGGCACAGCTCTGTGTGTGTGTGTGACAGTGACAGGAGGGCACAGCTCTGTGTGTGTGACAGGAGGGCACAGCTCTGCTGGGAGGGTGGGACAGGAGGGTGTGTGTGTGTGACGGGGGGGGTGTGTGTGTGACACAGGAGGATGTCTGTGTGTGTGACACAGGAGGGTGTCTGTGTGTGTGACACAGGAGGGTGTGTGTGTGTGACAGGAGGGTGTGTGTGTGTGACGGGGGGGTGTGTGTGTGACACAGGAGGGTGTGTGTGTGACACAGGAGGGTGTGTGTGTGTGACAGCAGGGTGTGTGTGTGACAGGAGGGGATGTGTGTGTGTGTGACAGGAGGGGCACAGCTCTGCTGGCTCTGTGTGTGACAGGAGGGGGGGTGTGTGTGACAGGGGTGTGTGTGTGACAGTGTGTGTGTGTGACAGGAGGGCACAGCTCTGTGTGTGTGACAGGGGTGTGTGTGTGACAGTGTGTGTGTGTGTGACAGGAGTGGCACAGCTCTGTGTGTGTGTGTGACAGGAGGGCACAGCTCTGTGTGTGTGACAGGGGTGTGTGTGTGACAGTGTGTGTGTGTGTGACAGGAGTGGCACAGCTCTGTGTGTGTGTGTGACAGGAGAGCACAGCTCTGTGTGTGTGACAGTGACAGGAGGGCACAGCTCTGCTGGCTCTGTGTGGCAGCACACAGGGACAGAGCACACTCCAGAGGGGGAATTTCTCAGATCCACTGGTATCACACCTTTGTGCCACTCAGTTTCCACTAAGTGATTTTCTTGAAGGCCCAGATGTGAAGTGGTGTCTAGGTGCTGGATCTTGTCAGGTGCTGAATGTGACACTTGAGGTCACACCTGACCAGGATTCCTTCTTAACCCCTCTTAGAAAAGCGTGGTCCTGATGCAGGCAGTAATTTCCAGAGTCAGTGTGACATGAATGGACTGAAATGTGAATTACTGAGCCTGGGGGGCTGGTTTGGGCTGGGATAGAGGTCATTTTCTCCAGAGTGGCTGTTTTGGGGCTGTTTTGAATTGTGCTGTGATATCCCAGGGATGTTTTGTTGTTGAGCAGGGAGTGGTCACCCAGTGCCAAGGCCTCTGGTGCTCCCACCCCAGGCTGCCAGTGAGGGGCAGGAGGAGCTGGGAGGGGACAGCCAGGACAGGGATTCCAGCAGGGATATCCCAGACAGGGGGTCATGCTCAGCAGATAAAGCAGGGGGAAAGGGAAGAGGGGGATGTTTGGAGTGATGGCATTTGTTTCCCACACGATACATGTGATGGATGGAGCCCTGCTGTCCTGGGGATGGCTCAACACCTGCCTGTCCTTGGGGAGTGAGGAATGAATTCCTTGTTTTCTTTGCTTGCATGGCTTTTGCTTTCCCTGTTACACTGCCTTGTCTCAGCCCATGGATTTTCTCCCTTTCACCTCTGTGATTTCCTGCCCCATCCCACCTGGGTGAGGGAGCAGCAGCTGTGAGGGGCTGAGTTGCAGGCTGGGGTTAAACCATGACAAGGACAAATTCCACCATAATGTTTTCAATGTGCTGTGCTGGTCAGGACACTGAAGGGGAGCACAGTGCTGTGTGTGTGAAATTAGAGGGTGCAGCTGGAAGGCATTGGCACAGTTGTGCACTGGGAGAAGGCCTGGAAAGCCCTGTAGATGGGGCTTGAGGATTTGCTAGAACCATTTCCATGTCACAGGCAGAGCCTTTGCTGAAGCCTGGGTACCACTGGAGCTGCACCAGTTTGGCAATTTGAGTCCTTCAGCCATTTTTAACATCTGGTTGTTGGGGTCCCATTTAGGGAGGAATGGATTCTTTGCTTCTTTTCTGCCAGGGCCAGGATTAAATGACCAGACAGTATTTCTTGTTGGGACTCAGTTGTTTTTTAGTTCTTATCTATGTCACAGTCTCACAAGCTGTGAGTTCTACAGTGCTTTGCTCTAACAAGGTAGAAAATGGCTATGTATGTCTCTCTACAGGGGCTTTTAAGGCTAAACTGTCCAATTAGGAAATGACATCTAAATTTTTTTTACTTTTAACCCAATAACCAACCACCCATGGCTGCAATGTGGACTTTTTATCCAATTACACAAAACCACCCAAACCCATGGAAGAAGATGAACAAGGAGCAGCCTCTGCCCTAAAACCTCCATCTTGCTTTACATATATTACTATATTCTAAAACATTAAACTCTAAGTTTTCCACCACATATTACACACTTCTGTTCAAACTCCACACCCACAATCCCAGTTCTGCCATTCCATTCTGGAAGCTTCTCCACAGCCTCAGGTCAGTGCAGTGTTCTCTGGGGGTCAGTGCCTGGCAGCACAGAAAGTCTGAAATCCTCAGTAACCAGGGTTCCAGCAAAGGAGTGGAATATATTAATGTCTAGAAGGATGATCTTCTGTCTTTTCACCAGGGCTTCTGGGGGACTCACCCATCTTCCTCATAGTGTGGTGTGCTTTGGGAAGCTCCAGTCTAATTTGGAGAAGGAAAACACTGGGTGCTGGTCAGGGATGCCCTCCTGGCCTGTCACAGTGTGCTCTCAGCCTTGTGGTGTGAGGGCTGTCACCATCAGCCTGTCAGCAAGTGCTGAGGGGTTGTGTTCCTGCTGCTGGGGTGGTTTTAAACATTGATTTTAAGTCCTAAACATGCCCTTGGAGCTCTGTGGTGGTTCTGCCTCCTGGGGCACTTCAGTTCAGAGCACCTCTTGCTGAAGTGAGGGATGCTGAGTAATTCCTGTCACTGAAGATAAGCTGCTCTCAGAGAACTGTTCTGCTGAGTTGTGCACTGGGGGTGAGCAGATGGGAGGGGAGGAGGAGCTGAAGCAAGTATTGCCACAGCTGATAAAAGCTCTTGGTGGATGTTTCTGTTTCAGAAAGCACCAAAACAGCTGTTTGTGGCTCTATCTGAGTTAAAGGAGAATATTTTGGAAGTGCCATGGTATCAGGTTAATTGTTATGGTGTTGTGAAACAGTTTAATAGCAGAGTCCCCACTGATTTCCCTGCTTAGATTTTCCTGCTGCTGTGTCCCTTGTTGCTGGATTGTGGATAAGGAAAGAAAGAAACTGAAATTGTGGGTCAGGGCTGTGGGACGTGAGCTCAGGTGGCACTGAAGAGGTGCTGGACCTCTGCCTGAGAGCCAGATCTCTATCCCAGAGGTGGGATCATCTCCTGAGCTAAATGGAGCCTCCAGGCATTTCCTCTTCTGCTTGAACTGCTTTGATTTAACCCTCTCCTTCCTGAGTAATTTTCCTGTTGAGGATTCTCCTTAGCATTGAGTCTCCTCCTGTGACATCACCTGCTACTGGCAGGGAGGAATGTTCACCCTCTGGGCATCAATTAATTGCTTTCCTGCCTCAACTTTGGAGTGGTAAATCATGGGATTTCAAAATCCTCTCCTGGTCTGCTTCCCTGTGCAAGGAATCACTAACGCGTGGTGCTGCCTTGTGCCAAATCCCAGTTTTGTTTATATCCCCACTCAGAAAAAGCTGAAAGCTCTTGGCAATTTGCTACTACCTCATTCATCTCTTGGAATTATTTTCCTGCTGGACATATTTTTCATGGGTGTGATGTTTTTGGGCAGCACTTTGTGAGCTGCAGTCATAGCTCTGGAAGCTTCCTGAACTGGACTTTTTTTTTTGTTTCCATGGTGTTGACTGGGAGTAACACATCCCCTGTGGCTGTGACTCTTCTCTGATGGTGTCTTGGCTTAGTTTCCAGATGGATCTAGAAAACCTGGTGATAAGTCTCCTCAACCTTCCTTAGATGTGATTAGTTTGAGCTTCCCTGGTCCAGGGACAAGCTCTGAGCTCATATTCATCCATTTACTGAGAAGATAAAACCATGCTTGAAGCTGTTGCTGTCCCCATGGCAAGTTTGCCAGAGAAGTCACATCCTTTGTCCTAGGAAACACTCCAGAGTGGTGATTCCAATCTGGAGAGGAGAATCCAGGCTGGGAAGGTCACCAGGTGTTACCAGGTCAGGCAGGGACCTGAGCTGGGGAGGTTCACACTTCTGCTGTGTTTTGCAGAGATAATCAAAACCCTACAACTTTTATGAAAGTTGTAAAGCTGGTATGTGTATTACAGCACTGGATGCATGTGGGAATTGTTTTTTTAAAATTGACATGTGGACTTCTGGGAACTTCAGGGTTTTTTTTATCTTTTTTTCAGATACATATGTATACAAATTCACAATAGGTTCATACATATTCATTTTTATGAATTTCACGTGACATTTTCTGCTAGTTCTTTTTTATCAGAAAGAATTCTTAGGTCAGGTTGACCTGTTCTCACAGCAGTTTCTCTGTATCTTTCTATCACTTTCTGTCTCTCCTTTTATCTCTGTCTTTCATTGAAGCAGTTTCTTTGAGCTTAGGCTTTTTGCAGTCAGGCTAAATAGCTATGTTTGCTAACTACAGACTCAACTCAAAAATGTACATTTCACCTAAATCAAAGTGGATTTATACTTTGGAAAATTTTTACTTTGCTTTAGCTGTGACAGAGTGTGTGTAATAAAGCTGTGCCTTGTTTTGCAGTAGTTCTGGGGTGGTTTTGAAGACACCTGGCTGCTTGTGCCAGCTGTGAAGTGCTGATGATTTGTGTTATTTCCTGACTTCCAGGCTGCCAGAGCTGCTGAGGGAGAAGGCAAGCAGAGATTTTTCACTCAGGACATCAACAACATCATCCTGGAGTAAGTGCTGCCAGCAGAGAGCTGTGTGAAAGGAGAGCATTAGGCAAAGCATTTTTTGGTAAATCCAGGAGCAGGTTCAGCAGGAATTGTGGGGTTGTCCTTGTACAGGTCTTCCAGGCAGAACATGCCCAGAATAACATGAAAGTCTCCTATAAATGGCTTTCAGTTGAAATATGATGAGCTAGGAGTGTGTTGGAGGGAATGTACCCAGGCCTCCTGTTCTCAAGATTCTGACTGATACTTATGTGCCTAAATTTGGCCACTTGACCTGTGAGTTTAGCTTGATGCAGGACCAGTAAATCTCTCCCTGTGAGAGATGCCAGGTGTGTTTTTGCTACTTAACTTGCATGCTATGTAGAATTGTTTGTAACTGGGATAAGGCTGCTGTGTTCAACTGGTTCTCTGGGAAAACTGGAGGAATTCCATTCCTGCTCTGTGTTTTGAGGCCCAAATTACAGAGTGCCAGTGTTGCTCAGGCAGCTGCAGATAATGGCTTCATTCTTCTGCCAGAGCCTGGACAGGGCTGATGAATGCACAGGGTTTTGTGATCAGTGCAATTACACTGACACCCAGGCTTTAATTTCATTAAGGTTTATCCAGGCACTTGCAGGGAACTGCCAAGGGGAGTTTGGGACTCTTTCCCTCTCATTTCCAGGGCTGATTATCACCTTCCAGCATTCCAGTGCTGGCTGCACAAACAGTCCTTGTCTGGTGGTGAACTGATCACTTCAGCCTCACTCAGAGGAGATTTAGACAGATTTGTACAATTTTGCTGCACAATTTGGAACAGGGGAACCCCAGACATGAATATAGATTGAGAGAAGAATTTGGGCTGTTGGAGAGATGCCCCAAGGGCTGGAGCCCCTCTGCTCTGAGCCAGGCTGGCAGAGCTGGGGGTGCTCACCTGGAGAGGAGAAGCTCCAGGGACACCTCAGAGCCCCTGCCAGGGCCTGAAGGGGCTCCAGGAGAGCTGGAGAGGGACTGGGGACAAGGGATGGAGGGACAGGACACAGGGAATGGCTCCCACTGCCAGAGGGCAGGGCTGGATGGGATATTGGGAATGAGGAATTGTTCCCTGTGAGGGTGGGCAGGCCCTGGCACAGGGTGCCCAGAGCAGCTGTGGCTGCCCCTGGATCCCTGGCAGTGCCCAAGGCCAGGCTGGGCAGGGCTGGAGCAGCCTGGGACAGTGGGAGGTGTCCCTGCCATGGCAGGGGTGGCACTGGATGGGCTTTAAGATCCCTTCCAATTCAAAGCATTCTGTGACTTAAATAATGGTGATGATGAATCACTTGACATTTTTTACACTTTCTGATACTGAGAGATGGCTTAAAAAGCCAGGCTCCTAATTTCTGTTTGATTGTGCAATGGGTTTGGGTTTGGCACATGCTGATCTCTCTCATCTACTCACTTAGAAGTTGAAACCCAAGGGATAAAGTTTGATTTTGTGTTGTCCTGAATTGCACTGCCACAGCACCTGACACAACCAGTGTGCCCTTCCCATTTCATTGCCTGACCCTCCTGCCTGCTGCTGCCAGGGAGAGCAGATGAGACTGCAGACTGCCACCTGTTCCTTCTCCAGCAGATTCAAAGCACAGCTGGGGATAAAATCTGTTGATTCTAGAATCCAAAGAATCTTCACACAGTTTACCTTGTCCTTCATCCCTCTCTCCCTGTTGGGGAAGATGAAACAGGGAAGCCTTATAAATATGATTGCCTGGCAAAAGATTTTGAGAATATAGAAACTATAAGCAAGATGGAAATGAAAGCAAGCTTTGAGATACCTCAGTTACTGAACAACTGCAAAACAATGGTGTGGCTGGACTGAAAGTAATTCCCTTTTGATGGAACAACACCCTCTGCTTGCAGACAGGCCCAAGGGTCAGAGCAGACCCTGCCAGCTTGGCAGAAGGGGCCCAAAGAGGAGTTTATAGGGTTTAAATTGTAACACAGTGTGGTAATGTAATGATTCTTACAGGCTGTATGTAAATGCTATAGGATTTGTATCTTGTACTAGATTGGTTAGTGAGAATCAGAATATTCAACATAGAAGAAGATTTATTGTATTGTAATGGAAACCTCACTCCCTTGCCCTTTTGCTCTCTTACCCTCTCATCCTCTCTCCCCCTCTCTTCTCTCAGCCTGCTCTGAGCTGTGGCTGCAGCTCCCAGCAGGGCCCTGCCCCCAGGCCCTTTGCAATAAACCCCAAGTTCCTGACCTGGCTGCAGAGATCTCTGTCTCTGTCCCCACCGTCCTACCCCTGACACTCCTACATGTCCCTGCCTCCCAGTCCCCTCAGGGTGGCCCTGGTGGCTCAGGGCTGGCTGGCAGTCCTGCTGAGGCTGTGTTTTTGTCCCCAGCATCGAGCTGCAGACGCGGGAGCTCAGCAGCCAGGTGCGCTCGGGGGTCTACGCCCACCTGGCCGCCTTCTTCCCCTGCAGCAAGGACACGCTGCTGAAGAGAGCCCGCAGGCTCTACCTCTACGAGCAGGTGAGGAGGTGCCACCAGGCCTGGGGGGTGGTGGCCCTGCTGGGGGGGTGTGTAGCCTGGGGGGTGGTGGCCTTGCTGTGCACAGTGTGGCTGTTGCTGTCCCCAAAGCCCTGTGTCCTCCGTGGAGCAGCAGCCTGGCACGGTGGCTGAGTGGGGTTGGAGCAGGCTGGATTTTGGTGTCCCAGCCATGGGAACATTTTGGGGTGTTGTGTGTGGCAGCAGCTCTCTGGCCACAGAGAGAAACACTCAGCTTTCCTCTCGGAGTCTCTGTGGCTGAGATGACCCCGAGGTGTTAGAAAGTCTCTTTGTCCCAGCCCAGAGATCGAAGGGAGAGTCAGAATTCTTCAGCTCTGGTTTTCAAGGTTGTTTATTCTCTGTTATCTATCATTCTATCTAACATTCTTTTATTTGTTACCTATATATTTATTTATCATTCTATTTATTTGTTATCTATCTAACATTCTTTTTCTGACCTGCTGAGGCCTGTCTAGCAGGGTTGAGGCACACTGATCACCCTCAGGGCGGTGTTACCTTTTAATACTAAAAACTACCTGTACTTTATTTATAATAATGTTAAAATACCTATCACCTATGTTAGACAGTGTGTTTCTGCTCTAAACCAATCCAAAAGTGCTACCATCACCCAGAAGATGGAGGACAAGAAGAAGAAAAAAGGGCAAGGCATGCCCAAATCCCTCCATCTTGGCTTCTGAACCCCCATTCTAAAAACCTCAACATTTTACTTTTTCACCCTCTGACAAACTAACTGTCATTCTACTTAAACTTTTGTGGATTGTAAACCTTCACATAAAGTTGGTAATTTTCTCCATGGGTTAAAATCAAAGCCACAGGTGTCTTTGGCTTCATGCTAAGGTCTCTGAGCCCCCTCCCAGGGGCTCAAGCCATCCAGGACAGCCAGAGTGATGTCCTGGGTTCTGACACTTTCCCAGGCATCATTCTGGGAAAAATCTGTGAGAAGATCAGAGAAAAAAATGAGAAACAATTCTTAACTTGCTGCACCTGCCATTGTGAACATGTGGAATGTGTTACACAGATTTGTTTACCAAAGGGTGATTTGCTAATTAACTAACAATGACAGTGTTTTAATTAAAGAACTAATCAATTCCACCTGTAGTGAACTAAGGTATAAAAGTATAGGTTTATTAATACAGATTATTGCTCAGCCTTCTGTAAATTCAGGGAGTCTGTGTGAGTTACCAGCCAGTCCTGGCTGTTGTGCTGACAGCTCTGTGCCCGCTGCAGGGTGGGCGCCTGAAGGAGCCTCTGCAGAAGCTGAAGGAAGCCATTGGAAGGGCCATGCCAGAGCAGGTGGCCAAGTACCAGGAGGAATGCCAAGCCCATACTCAGGCCAAGTTTGCCAAGTAAGCTCCTCATTTGCTCCTTTCCCCCTCTGTGGCTTTTCCCAGCAGGCTCCCTGTGGCCTGGGCTGCTCTCCTGAAGTTTGCCACCTCTTTTTGTTCCGTGGGTTACATTTGCTGATTGGCCTGACTGAGCTGTGTGTGTTCTTTGTGCTGTCTGTGGCCATGCCAGCTACAGCAGCACTGATGGGACAGAGCTTGGCTGAAGGGTTTTGCATGTGCAGGCGTGTCCTTGGGAACATGGCAGCCTGGGAACAGTCAGGCTGCATTAGTCCCATCATCTCTGTTACAAAATATTGGGAGATTTCTTAACCTTCAGCCCATAGCTCAGCTTGAACCCTAAGCCAGAGATTGCTGATACTGAGACCCTGTCCAGTGCTGTTCAGAGATACTTAACTTACTTAATACTGCAGATTAAGTATCTACTTGTACCTGCAGGATGATCACTTCCACCTTTTCTGTCTCCATTTTAGGATGCTGGAAGAGGAAAAAGACAAAGAACAGCGTGTTTGTTCTGATGATGATGAGGATGAAGAAAAGGGAGGGAAGCGTGTCGCGGGCCCGCGGAAGAAATTCCAGTGGAATGATGAGATCAGGTTTGAATAACTCAGATATTAAGCAAATTCATGACCTGTCTTGCTCTTTGCAGTTGGCAGTGAAGCATTTTGGAGTCTGTGTTTTGTTACAAAACAGTGCTGATCACCTGTAGGAGCAGTCAGCGTGGAGGTTCGTGGTGTTGGTTGTGGAAGCCATTTCTGCATTTATTGCATCTCACCCTGAAGCTGATTTCAGGCCCAGATTAACCCTGAGAGAAGTGCTGAGAGCCTCTGTGCAGAATCCAAAGGAGAGAGTCAGATCTTTGGGAGCAGAAGAGATTCAGCTGAATTGCTGGCATCCTACAGCCCAGACTTTGACATGCCCAGGTTCTGGTTCTGGAAGCAGTTGAAGCTGTTGGGTTCTACTGCCCCTGGCACCTGGGGCTCACAGGGAAGGAGTGCTGAGAACAGGGGAGAGTGACAAAGGGTAAAGGGAAAATCAGTCCTGCTGTCTTTTTCTTCTTATTCTGGAACAGATTTGTGCTGCTGATCCATGTAGGACACAGCCAGCTGTGCTTCCTTGCAGAGAGGTTCAGTGCTGTGGTTGTTAGTGGTGCCTGTGGCTCTGGCACTGGTTTCCTGCCTCAGCTGGTTCAGGAGATCACACTGGGAAGGGATAACAAGACTTTTCTCCCTGTGCACACACAGACTGTGCTTTTCCCTTCTCCTTTCCTGAGGAGGCAGTGCAGGGTTGTGTCTTGGTGAATTTATCCAGCCTGGATAAAGAGAATGATCTCCAAGTGGGAAAGGTCAATCTGCATAACTGTATGTGAAATCTTCCTGTTCCTCAGGGAGCTGCTTTGCCACTTGGTGAAGATTAAATTGGATGGTTATGACCTTGACAAGAATAAGGCTCAGTCTCTAGAGGATTATGTGAAGACCTTCCTAGAAGGAGAGGTGAAGCCCCTTTGGCCAAAAGGCTGGATGCAGGCCAGGTGAGCAAGAACCAAGGGATTCCTTGTCCCAAGGGACCTGGGAAGGTCATTAGTCCTACCCTTGCTCAGGGAATGGTTGGCTTCAGAGTTAGATCAGAGTGCTCAGGGCTTTGGCATGTGGAATTTTGGAAATTCCCAAGGATGGAGTTTACCACAGCATCTCTGGGCTCCTGTTCTGGTACTTGATCACTCTTCATGAGATCTTTTCTCTTTATTTCCTGTAAGAATTCCCCTTGCTGCACTGAACTGAATATTCCCTGCTTTTGTTTTTTACTGTGCACCTTTGAGAAAGGTCTGGCTCCATCCTGTTCCTGTCCCCACCACTCTTTAGGTAGTGGAAAACTGCCATTAGACTCCTCCTGGGGCTTCTCTTTTTCCAGGCTGAGCAAACCCAGTTCCCTCCACCTCTCCTTGGCTGTTGTGTGTCCCTGTTCCTTGGGATGTTTCCAGTTTGTTGGCATCTCTCTTGGATTGTGGGGACCCTGAAGCTGGATCTGTGTCCAGATGTGTCCTCCCAGGTGCTGAGCAGGACATTTCTGCAGCAGTGCTTCCCTTCCCTTGCTCCCAGGAGCCCCAGGCCCTTTCCTGCAGGGCTCTGCCCAGGGCTGTTCCATGCCAGCTGCAGGACTTGGTGCTGGATCTCACTGAGCTTCACAAGGTTTGTGTTGGTCCCTTTCTCCAGCCTGGGAAGGGCCCTGTGGATGGCAGCCCTGCCTTCTCCCCTGCCTCTGTGCCTTTTCACCTCCCAAATTCCTGAGTGCAGCCAGGACTGTGAATGGCAGTGCTAGGCAGCCTTGGTGCCATGGTGGTGCCACACAGGTGTCACTGGCACTGAGCTCAGGCCCACGGGCCAGTCTCTGCTTTCTTGGCTCTGTATCACAAAAGATCCCTTTGTAATCACAAAGGATACATTTTCCAGACACTTTGGGAAGTCTTCTCTGGAGTATTCCCAAAAGAAAGCAAAGTAGGAAAGTTACAGGGGCTTATTTAAGTCAGTAGAATCTGGTGTGGTTTCTGCACTCTCACTGCTGTTTCCTGCTCTTTCCCACTCTCCATTATCCCTGCCCTGAGCTGGCAGTGTCAGAGAGCCACACAAATGGCACAGTCCCTCTGCTGGGGCTGTCACCACCTTCTGGCCTGCTTTGTTTTGCTCAGTACTTTCAAAGCAAGGACAACTCTGCAGTCTCACTTTGGAATCTTTAAGGTTCCTTCCAACCCAAGCTGTTCCATGATCTGTCTCTGCATTTCACCAGCTGGGCAGTGCTGACTTCTCTGCTGAGCTCTCTGCTGAGTTTGCTTTCTCCTGAGAGCAGTAAGTATGAGTGGCACATCAGAGATGCACTTGGAGAAGCCCATGAAGGCTGTTTGGTGCATGTGCACAGGAAGCTCAGTGCTCAGCATGGTTGTGGTGTGGTGGGGCAGGAGCTGAAAGGTGGCATTAGGAGTGGGTGAAGATTCCTGCTTAGTTAATGAAGATATACCCAGCCTGAGGGTCTCAGCTTGCCAAGTTTTAAAAACTTTTCTTGTAATTAAAATCTTCAAGTTTGATGGTGAAACCGTTCTTGGGCATTCAGATGTTCACAGACTCAGTGTAGGAGGCACTTCCAGTGGAATTAAGTACAGTAAGTAATACCTCAGTAAAAGTGGATTTCCTGGTTGCTTTCCAATGGCTGAAGGACAATGGTTTCTCCTGCTGGGACTTGGAGTTGGACTTGATCTTTCTGGGTCCCATTCAACTCAAGATATTCTCTGACTTGGTGGTTTAAGGACAGAGGGTAGAGTGACAGTCATGGGAGGGGTTGGTGGCTGTAGGAAAACTGTAACAATTCCATGGATAAGTCAGCTTGTTTCACTGTCATCATGGTCTCAGAAGTTCATCTGTGAGAGGAACTTGAAGGTAGAGCAGCAATTTTATGGATGAGTTAGAGAGGCCCTGCCATGAATCTGTTTCCTCCATGAGCACTAAGAGATGATTAAGAGAATGTTAAGTTAACATAAGCTTGCTTTTTAAGAGAAAAACTAAGACAAAAGTCTGTTAATACCAGCCAGGAATCCCATTCCATGTGCCAGGAATGTTTGTAACTCCTTCCTGACATGTAGGAGGGCAGCTGATTGGCAGCTGGTTTGGGTCAGAGAGTGTTTGGGGAGACTCTGCTTTACCCTCAGTAGTGCAGGCTTTGGTTGAAGCTCAGTCTATGGCTGTGCTCAGTCAGTCCTTCCAGCAAGGGTTGTGCTGTACAGAGTCACTCAGCTCCAGGCTGGGCACAAAAGCAGCACAGACCCTTCTCTCCTTCATTGCTGGCTGAGAGGCACGGGAAGGGAGCTTCCTCCCTGCAGGCTGAAGAGCTCTTGGATGATCTCTGGCAGCAGGAAGGCCCTGAGTGATGATCCTGCCTCTCCAGTTGCCTTTTTAAGCTGGCAGAGCTTTTTCCTTAGCCATTGTCCAACCACTGCCTCAGTGGCCTTTGCAGTGCCTACAAGCATTGCTGCCCAGAGAGAGAACTGTGAGGGGAGCTCAGGATGATCCTCCCGGCCAAGGGCTGAATGTTGGTTTGCTCTCTGTGGTTGCAGTCTCACCAAGTCCCCTGCTGTGCCGTGCAGCTCTGTCTCCAGTGATCCCAGCTGCTCTACTGGGTCTTGCTGGATGTCACTTCTCATTGCTCTCTTCCCTTCTTAGGACACTGTTTAAGGAGAGCAGGCGTGTGCACGGACACCTCACATCAGTCCTGTGAGTATCACAGCCTTCCTCTGGAGTGACAGCTGCTCATCTCCATCCCTGGGGCCTGGGGGATCCTGCAGGAGCACCTGAGCTTGCTTGGCTCCCCCCTCATAGATCAGTGCTGCTTCCTTTGGGGAGGTCTAGGGACAGCAGCTGCTTGTGTGTGACATCTCCCAACACTTCCCTCAGGTGCTTTAGCCTTCAGCAAGCTCAACAATAACGGCTTTAAAGCCAAGTTACCTCTGGTTCTACAGCCTGGAGTGAGGGCTCTGTGCTGGGCCTGGGAGGCTCAGGGAGGTCAGGTGGAGTGTGATTTCTGCAGCCTGTTCTGTTGGTCCTTGCTGGGTTCTGCATTCCCTCTCTCTTGCTGCCTGGCTCAAGGAGGGGCACCATGAGCTCACACTGGTGGAGGTGGGTGCAGCAGGCTCACCAAGAGCCATCAGAATCCACCTGGGCAGGGGCTTTAATCCAAAGGGTCTCATGGATCTTGCTGGTGGTTGATAACAGATGAGGACATGGATTTAGGCTGGTGTCAGCTTGGCAGACTGTCCTATTCTTGGCACTGGTGAGTGAGGGGAAGTGGAATAGGGTGTGGAGTCATCCTTCCCCCAGCCACACACCCAGCTGCTCAGGGGTGTCTTGTACCAGGGATTGCATCTGACCAAATCTATTCTCTGGGAGTTTGGCAGATGCTTTTGCATCTTTTGCTTCTTCTGGGAAGCCAAAAGAAGGGTGTAACTTCTGCAGAACAGTCTCTGTGCCAGTTTCTCTCTGGGCCTTGCTGTAGGAGGGCAGCAGTGGAGTCCTGCAGCTGCTGCAGATGTGTGTGTGGGTGTTTCACTGCTCTGCTGCCATTCCAAGGCTCTGCTCCACTCCCTGGTGGCAGCTGGGGCTTCCAAGAGCAGCAACCAAATGTCATGTGCTTTTGAATCCTAGCAACCTGAGATGCTGCCTCTGTTCCCTGCAAAGACTCAGTGGATCGTCACCAGCAGGGCCCAGGAGTGCTCCCAGGCTGGCTCCTTCCCTGGGGCAGTCACTCAGCCATGTCTTGTCTTGTCTTCCTCCAAACAGGGCGAAGAAGAAAGTCATAGCTCCTACCAAGGTGAAAGTGAAGGTGAGTTCTGTTTGCTGATTCTCAAGGTTGGTATGTGCCAAATGGCAAGTGACTGCCACCCTGAACCCTGTGTTTGAGCTTTGTGTCAGCTCCTGTGAAATGGCTCTGCTCCGTATTTGGCTTGGAAAAAACACTGGAACAGCAGCTAAAATTGATGGCAGTGGCAGCTGGGAGGGAAGTGGGAGCTCATGGGCACAGAATATGTGTGTCCTGCCTTTTATCCCCAGACTGTGAACCTTCCTTCCCTTTTCAGCAGTAAACCCTGTCTCTCTTCTGACTGTACCTTCTCCTGTGATGTTGTTCCAGGACTCTTCCTGCAAGCCAGACAAGAAGCTGTCAGTGTCTGTCCCCTCCCTGCACTCGAGCAGCTCCTTGGCCATGTCCTCAGAGCCCCAGGGAGGAGCCCTGGGCATCAGTGCCCAAACCAGGGAGCTCCTGTCCCTTGGGACAGCCCAGGCTGCCAGCAGCACTGCTGCTCCTGCCACCTTCAAGGATGATTCCTTGGATGAGGACTTGATTCACAACCCCACCTCCTCCCTGGAAGCCGTGTCCAAGGAACTGGCTGTGCTCAACAGCAGGGCAGCAGGGAGCCCTGACTTTACTCTTCCTGCAGCTCCAAAAGCTCCACCAGAGAAGATCCCAGGTCTTGCATCCTCAGAGGAGAAGAGGACATTTCCAAAGCCCAACCCTTCCCCTTCATCATCCTCCGGTTCCCTCCAGTCTCCTCTAAACTTCCTCGCTGAGCAGGCCCTGGCGTTGGGCCAGTCTTCTCAAGACAAGAAGACAGAGAACTCTAATTACAAAGAGCATTCCTGCCAAGCCTCCCCCAGCAAAATCCTTCCTGATGCCCACCAGGCCAAACAGAAGCACCACAGCCTGGTCAGGCCAGGCCACGGGGCCCCGGCCTCGGCGCCGCTGCCGGGCGCTCAGGTGAAGGTGTTCCACCCTGGTGCTCAGCTCCAGAAACCTTTCCCCTCCCCAGCTCCCTTTGTCAAACTGCAGAACCCCAAATCCTCCACCCCCCTGCCCCAGCGCTCCCTCCTCCAGCAGGTCAAGTCATCAACCAAAGCTCAGAGCTTCCATTCCTCCGCGTCCCCAGGCAGCACCCAGAACTCCAGCAGCTCCCACAAGGGCCAAGGCTTGTCCTCCTCCTCTCTCAGCTACGCCGGGAAGCACTCAAGCGGCTCCGGCTCTTCAGGACAATCTTACAAATCCCCTTTTGTCGCTGGCTCCCTCTCCAAGCACGGGGCTTCTTCCAGCAGCTCCTCTGGAGCTCCTGCCAGCCAGGGCAGCTCCTCTGGGACTTTGCTCCCCGGTGTTGCAGCCCCGTCCCCGGGCTCGGCCTCGGGCCGCCCGGCCTCGGGCTCCTCCGTGAAGAAACCTCCCGTGGCCCAGAAGCTGACCCTGGTGGCACCTCCTGGGGGCTCCAACGGGGATTCCAGCGGGGGCACCCAGGGCGTGGCCAAGCTGCTGACCTCGTCCCTAAAGCCAGCTGTGGTCAGCAGCACCGCAGCCTCTACCTCTGTGCCGGTAAGGGGGCCCTGCTGTGCTGGCAGTCACTGCTGCCCTGAAGGGGGCACTTCAGAAGCTAAATCTGGAATGACTCTCTGGATTTCACCTGCTTTAGACTAGGAAGGTGTGGCCTTTGCCCTGGGTTTGCCCTCCACAATTCCAGCTTTCACTTTCAGCCTAAACAACCACTCAGCTGAATAAATACTGTGCTGCCTTCCAAAGGGCAGTTACTGCCCAGGCTGTGTCATGATCCTGCCCTGGCCCTGTGAGTTATGGGGACAGTAGGGCTCCCATTTGGATTAAGAGAAAGTGCAGTAAGGTAATTTATCACAAGAGATAAAATTCATTGCATAAACTAAAAGTATAATGATGAATTTATTATTAATTAGATCTACAAACTTAGCCTTCTTTAAATTATTCCAAGTCATTTTAGTATTATTGCCACTTTTGTCATGACTGGCCCATAGAATAAATAACCTGTGGTTATAGAACCATGGAATCATTCAGGTTGGAAAAGCCCTCTAAGATCATGAGTCCAACCAATCCCCCAGCACTGTCAAGGTCACCTCTAACCATGTCCCCAGTGCCACATCCCCATGGCTTTTAAATCCTCCCAGATGTGGTGACTCTACCCCTTCCCTGGGCAGCTGTGCCAGTGCCTGACCATCCTTTCCATGGAGAAATTTTCCCAATATTTGTTAGGATATAGAACATTTCAGGAAGGACTTCTGGGTTATCAGTACAGACTTGTGTAACCACAATATTTTATTACTTAATTGTGTAAGGGGGTTCATTTTTATCTATAGAAAAAAAGTAATAGTTCCTAATGTTGTATTCCTTTGTGCCCCATGGAAAGAGCTGGGAAATACAAGGAGTGTGTTTAAATGGAAAGCATGAACTGCTCAGCTGATACAGCTTTTCTGTTCCTGAGCTAGAGAGCTGGCAGCACTTCCTAGTGGTGCCTGTCTCCATGAGAGAGATCCTGAATAACCTCCTGGGGTGCCTTGGGTGTCACACCTCAGTGCCTGGAGTTGTCAGCAGTGTGTGCTGCCATAAGTGAGTGGGAGGCAAACCCTGGAACTCACAGGCAGTGTGGAAACTTGTCCTCTGCCTTATGGAGGCACAATTCCCAGCAAGGGAGTCATGGAGGCACATCCAGTGTGGCCACATTCAGAAGAGCTGGCTTGCCAATGTCCATCTGCAGATGGCCTCAAGTGTTGGCCTCTCTTGGGCCCTGGCTGGGAGGGTGCTTTTCCAAGGGGGAATTCTCAAGCATTCCATGTTTTGCAGATCTGTAAGTCTGAATGATGCTGTACCTTGATTCTCCCTCTCCTGACTGACCTTTTCCATTGCTTTGCAGAAAGGAACTAGTGGAGCTGTGCTGCTAACAAGCTCTTCCTCCTTAAGTGTACTGGCTCCATCCTACAAGTCCAACAACCCAAAGCTGCCAGCTGCCCTGAGCTCCACCCCGTTAGGTATTATCTCTCCTATTCATTCTTTCCCTCTCCATGTCATCTCCTTCAGTTCCGACTCCTCCCCCAAAGCAGGAGTTTCCAAGGATGCAATAGTTACAGGACCTGCTCCAGGAACTTTCCACCACGGCCTCGGGCACAGTGAGTATCCTGCTGGTCACCTGTGTGTCACCTGTGCTGTCACCTAGACCATCAGTGCTCTGCTGGGCTGCCCCATTGCACACCAGCCCATCTCTCTGGCTGTTGCTTCGTGCCGTGCTCCCTGCTTTTGTATCTCCAGCGGTTTGGAGAGCATCCCTAGAGCTCACCCAGAAGTGCCAATAACTGGAACCCGACCTCTGCTAACTGCTGCAGCTCCTCTGCTCATTCTGTCTTGGATGTGTATTTGTTCCTTTTTCCCTGTCCTCTCTTTGTTTTTCTCTCTAGGTCTTCTGGCTGGTTTGCACTCCAGCCCCCACCACGCAGCGCCACTCCCACACTCTGCCCTGGCCACTCACTTACCACAGAGTTTGCCAGGTAACTTCTCAGATGTGTTTGTCCTTCTGCCTCATGAGTCTCCCTCTATCTCAGCAGATCCAGGCCTGCAGCCAAAGGGGTTTCCATGTTTTCCAGCTCTGTGGTTGTATCTAAAGCCTCTCTGAGGTACACAGTGAGGGGCTGGGGGAAACCTGCTCTGGTGGAAGCTGTCCCTGCCATGGCAGGGGGTGGAATAAGATGGGCTTTAAGGTCCCTTCCAACCCAAACCATTCCATGATTAGAAAGAAATTCTGGGCTGTGAGGGTGGGCAGGCCCTGGCACAGGGTGCCCAGAGCAGCTGTGGCTGCCCCTGGATCCCTGGTAGTGTCCAAGGCCAGGCTGGGCAGGGCTGGGAGCAGCCTGGGACAGTGGAAGTTGTCCCTGCCCATGGCAGGGGGTGGAGTAAGATGGGCTTTAAGGTCCCTTCGAATCAAACCATCCTGGGATTCTGTGGTTTCTGGAATGATGAGTCCTCAGTGCTTACAGCAAGTGTTGCTTCCTGCAGATACTCAGAATTATCCTGCCAGGATGAAAGCTGTGCCTGTTTGCACAGCCTGCCAGGACTGCCCTGGAATGAATATTCCAGCTCTAGGGAGTTTTGTTCCTGGTGGCCTACATAAAATGTGTCAGACCAGACTGTCTTGTGTCTGTGCACTGAGTTAATTGCCAGCATCTCCTTCACAACCAGTTTGTAGTGTAAATGCAGATTGCTCTTCTTGCTGCTCACAACGTGAGGATTTGGCAGTTAAGCCTGTTCCTGCCCCAGTTTGATGCCTGCAAAGTGATATATAAAACAGGAGTTTTCCAAAGGAGAGAAGTAAGGAAAATTGAAATTCAGTGCCAGCAGATCATTCTTACCTGCTCCAGGGAGCTGCTTAGTCCCCTGATAATTCCCATTTCTGCTTTCTTAGGTGTGTTCTTTAGCACTTTGGCACAGTTCAGTGCCATTATCTTAGTACCTGCTCCTGCTGGGATGGTCCTCCTGGGCTAAGTGAGCCTGATTTAGGGGTGCTAGCCTGGCCCTGTGGTGTGTGCATGGATAACCACGTAGCCTCCTGGAGCAGTCATGGAATCAAAAGCCCTTGAGTGCTGAGCACGGTGCTTGTTGGCTGAGGAAGGAAGAGTGTGTTATGCACTCAGGAAAATGCAAAGAGTTGGTTGGGTTTGCTTCCTTTGCTGAAGTTTGGTGTGGGTTGTGCCATGCTGGTGTGGTAGAGCTGAAGGAGGTCCTGGCAGTGATCACTGGTGGGACAGACCCTTCCTTCCTGTTTGTAAATCACACTTCTGGAATGAGATCAGAGATTGAACATGGCTTGTGGAGTTTATTCCATGTCACTGAGGAGCAGCTCTCTGTCCCTTTAGTTCAAGGAGTTCAGAGTGATCACTGTTGTTCAGAGGGCTTATAACAGAAGAATTTTTTGATGAATTCTTCAGCAGGATGCAGGGCCAGAAGACAAAAGACCACTGGGAATAAGTGAAGGAGAATTGACCATGGATCCAGCTCAGCAAGGACCTCCTTTCTCACTTGGTGTTTTCACTTAAAGATTGGGGATGGAGCCTGGTGCTGCCATCTCTTGGATCATTCCCAGTTCTGGTGTTTTGGAGGAGAACACAGCAGATATTTAAGTGACTCCCATAACCTTAAAATGAATTCCTGTGTTTTGTGGCACCAGCTGTGTTTGGCTGTGCCAACACCTGCCCACAGCTGCATTGCTGTGTCTGAGCACTGGAGCTGCCTGGGAGGTTGCTGCAAGTGTAAAGAAATGTTGATGCCTTAAATAAAAGTGCTTTTATATCCATGTTCATCCAAGAGCCTCTGAGCAAAGAGCATCCAGTGCTTGCCTGTGTGTGGTTGGTGCTTCTGTTGCTGATGGGGGTTCCTTGTGCTGGGGATGTGGAGATGGGATGTGCTGGGCTGAGCTCCTGCATGCAGAGGAGCTGTTCTTGGTCTGGAGGAGAGGCTGCTGCTGCACTGCTGGGTGCCACTGCTGCTTGGCTGCACGTTCAGTGCTCCCATTGGTCCTTCACAGTCTGAAGTGGTTTTGATTGCTCCTGGAAAACTTTTGCTTCCTTAAACTTCCTTCCTTTTTCTCTCTTCAGTGCATTTTCTCTTGTCCTCCACATCCATTCCTTTCTGTTCCATCAGTGGTGAGATTCCTATGGATCCTGTTGCTATCAGTGGGCACCTAAAGCCTTCATTTAAAAAGCACCTAATTAAATAGTTCAAAAAAATAATCAATAGAGCACTTAAAGCCCTACCTAAAAGGGGTTTCTAGGTGAGGGGTTGGCCTCTTCTCCCACACAACCAGTGGACAGGACAAGAGGAGACAGGGGGAAGTTTAGGTTGGACATCAGGAGGAGTTTCTATTTGGAAATGGTGGTCAGGCATTGGCAGGGGCTGTCCAGGAAGGTTTGGACTCCCCATGCCTGGACGTGTCCAAGGAAGGCCTGGACATGGCACTCAGTGCTCTGGGCTGGGGACAAGCTGGGGATGGGTCACAGGTTGGTCTCCTTGCCCTTGGAGGTCTTTTCCAACCTCAGTGATTCTGTGATTACAACAGCAAAAATGTACAACAGGTTATTTCCAACCACCTTAGGGGCAAGGCAACCCCAGCATGTGTTTTGGGATTCCTAGAGGGAATGGCAAGGTGGATTTAGAGAAGGGCCCAGGCTAAGGAGCTCCCTGGCAGCTGGAATTGTGCCTGGGGTTTCTGCTGGGAGCCCACAGGGGACCCTCAGTGCTTCCCTTGTCCCTTCCTCAGAGGCTGCTCCCAGTGCAGAAATATCTCCAAGCACATCCTCTTCTTCTTGATCCCTGGGAATGAGGAGTAGGTCTTTCCAAACTCTGTGCAGAGGCCTGGCTGTCCCAGCTGCCCTTTGGGGGATGCTGAGCCCCTTCCCAGCTGTTTTATTTTCTTTCAGATGCTTCTCAGCTTCATGGCAAAGGGTCCAGTGCACAGCAGCGCAAGTTGTGACGCCTGCAAGGAGGGGAGCTCCAGCACCCATAGGATAAAACCCAGAGGAACAGCTCATGGACTTTGGATACCAGCTGCGTCTTTTGATTTCTTTTTTTTTTTCTTTTTTTTTCCCTATTTCTTTTTTTATGACAACTGGAGAGACTGAACTGCAACAAGGAACTCATTGGGGCGTCTGCTCAGAGGCTTTCAGAGCTGAGCCCAACACGTGGGGCCACCTGGAGCCATGCTCTGATGAGAGGAGCCTTTTGTAGCACTGTTTATTATTGCTGCTGCCCTTCCTGCATTCCCTGGCACTGGCAGGAGCTGGAACTCACAGGGAGGCTGGGCTGGTCCTGCAGTGGATTCCCACCCTCCTGTGTCTGTAGCTGCCAAGTACCTCCAAGTCCAGTTACCTCCGGGTATGAAAGGTGCTTCTTTCTTCTGCTTTGGATTTACTTGGATAACTCTAGCACTGCCAGTGCTTTCTTGAAGACATTTGAGGAACTTTCCAATTGTACTATAAAACTGTGCTACACTTCATTGGAGGATTTAACATTTCCTGTGTGGTGAATCTGAGGAACCACCTGATGTTCCCCTCTGGAGGAGAAGGAAGACTCTAGAGACTAAAGATATTTTTAGATGCAGTCATTGACTTTTAGAATTCTACTTCTTTTGAGTTTTTGGATTTTTTTTTCCCTCCAAAGGGATGCTTTTTTCCTGCTCAGTTTTATCCTCATTGCCATTGAATGCATTGGATTGAATGGGACACCTCTTAGCATGTCACATGAATGGGAAGACATAATTCCAGTGCCTTTTATGGTGGAGCAAGAATGGACTAGTGACACACATTTCAGCCCTATTTTGTGTGCTCCTCAACCCTTTTTTAATCATTCTGTATTTAAAATGTATTCTGGTTTATTTAATAGAGCTTTTTATGGTTGCACATCAGAAGAAAAAAAAAAAAAGCTGCACTGTCTGGACTTGAGTGGTGACCTGGTGACTGAGCACAGTCCCAAATCCCAAATCTAGCAGGAGCACCAGTTCCCATCCCAGTCTGTGCAGGTGGGTCCCAGGCCCTCCCCTAAAGCCATTCTTTCCTAGGGTTGTGAGTTGGGATCAATTTGGTGGGCAGAGGGAATGAGTGAGATGAACCAAGGTCACGACCTGTCCAGTGAATTCCAGAGAAAAACACCTCAGTGGTGCCTGCACCAGGATCGTGTGCTCAGCACAGCTGCAGGAACAGGGACCAGCTACAGTCTGGGGCTGTCTTCTCTTGTTCATTTTTTAACTTCAGAGCTAAATACTCCCCCTGTGCACCCCCTTTCAGGCTAAGGGCAGGCTGGGGCTCCACCTGAGCTTTCTGAGGTTTGGTTTCCTGCTCTGCCCAGTCTGTCTTCTCTCAGGCCCCCCCAGCCACGTCCCAGTTGTGCAGGGGTAGTGCTGATCCATGTAGAATTTACTGGTATTCCAAGGAAAAGCTTGCAGCTTCCTCCTTGAGCTTTGGGGAAGGATGCTGAGCCCAGGATGCCAGCAAATGTCTGCTTTAGTTTCCTCTGGTTTTTGTTAAGATCTGAGAATGACTGTTTTCAATTTGAGCTGATACATAACTGCCCGAGATCAGTGAGTTGATTGTATTTCAAATTAATGGATACAGCTCAGATTTCAAGTCTGTTTACAGAAAATACCTAGGTTGTAGTAGAAGAGCCAAAGACAGAACTGGTGTGGGTCAAAGGAAGCACAGCATTTCTTGTTGGACTCTGAGCAGTGGATGTCGTGTGGTTCCTGTTGAAGGCCTCGTCCTGAGGGGTGCTTGGCACCTTCATCTTCCCCTGGGAGCTGAAAGCTTGGGACTCCTGGCAGGACAGGGGCTCTCAGTGAGTGACCTGAGGTACTGGTTCTCCTCCCTCTCTTTGCTTTCACTTGAATGCTTCTGCTGGGAAGCCCCCGTGTGCAGAATCCCTCCTTCTAGGAATTTAGCGAAGCCTCTTGCCTCAGGGAAACGTTTATGTGGTGGAAATTCTGTGGGATATTTTTTCTTTACATGCTATAATGAGTGAGTGAGTGGTGTGGAGCAGAGTGGCAGCAAGGCAGGCCCACGCAGAGCAGCTGATGGGGAGCCAGGCTGGCACCTCTGCCTTGGGGAGGCAACTTGCAGCGCTTCCAGGATGGAATGGGGAGGGATAGGCTCCCATGGCACTTACCTGGGGATGGCAGTTCCTTTTGGCTGTAAGAGCTGCAGTTTACTATTCTATTTTTTTTTATGTGTGTGTTGGCACTGTCTTGCTGAAGATGGTGGGGGTGGTATGAAAAAATGTTAATCTTGTACAGAACAACTCAATAAATTGTTTCAAACTTTCCAAAATGCTTTTCTCCCCCCATCTCCTTACCTCTAATTCCCTGACTTTGTTTCCAAGAATTTCTGTTGTAGCTTGGATGCTCATCTGTGTCTCGAGTGAGTAATGAATTATTGACTGTTTTAAAGTCTCCTGTGTGGTGAGTGAATGGCAGCTGTGTTACAGCTGTTGCAGGGGTAGGAATGTTTCTTCTCATTCCCTGTGCTCCTAATGGTGCTTGAAGTTGGCCTCTGCTGCAAAGGACATGTGGGGCTCAGACCCTGCAGGAGGACCAGTGAGATCCTCCCTGATCCCTTCAGTCACAAAGGTAAAATAGTGGAGTTAATCCCCAGAGCCAGGAGGGATAAGCAGGGAATGCTTATGATGCTTCTGTGGACATCAGAGCTCCCCAGGGTGTGGATATTAGCTGAAATTGGGGCAAAAGGAAATGAATGGGTTCTCAAAGATACCATCCCAGTGAAATCCACTGTTCTCCTGCACTCAGTCCCATTCTTTAGTGCACTTCACTCCCATCTAATGCTGCTCATTAGTCCCAGCTTCAATGCTGCTCCAGTAATTTCCCCTTGGAAAAGAGCCAACAGCTAAAATGAATATCTTGGTGTTTTAATTCTGACTCCTTAATGGCAACTTCTTGTACACCCAAAGATCAGGAGGCTGCCATAATTAATGAAGACCAGACACCTTCTGATTGGAACCACTGCATTTTTATTTTGTACTATAAATAGAATTCCCCTCTATTCCCCATTCCCTTACACAAATAAATGAAACATGTAGCTGCATGTAACTCCATCCAGGAAAACACCAGCACTAACAGCTTTTAACCACGAGTGAAGGAGCTGCCTGTGGGAGGCCCTCTGCATTGGGTTGCCTTGCATGCTGTGCACAACCCCTTGTGTCTGGTGGTTCTGCCATCTCTTCATGTCCTTTTCCTTGACCTCTGGGGTGTGTGAATGCTCCTCCTGGATCAGTGGCTGGTGCCATCAAAGTACACCTTCATTCTTCCCCAGCAGCACAGGCACAGAGGTGAACAAATGGTGGTGCTGAGTCTTGGCGTGGTGATTCTGGGCTGAAACCTTGGTTTCCACAGAGCTGGTTTTCTCAGAGGATGAGCCCATCATTGAGTCAGTTGTCCACGGTGGGACTATCTGGCTTATCACCATGCAGCTGATGTAACCAGCTCCTGCTGGTCACCTCGGAGTCACCTGGACCTTCAGTCTCTCTCCTGACACGGCTTCGTGCACGACTATGTGAGTAGGAGTTGAGGAAACTGCAGGTTCTACTGAGTCTTTTGGACTTGAGGCACTTCACTGTCCTAAGGCTTTGTCTTGTTTTCTGCTAGGCAGGGAGGAAGAGGGGTTTCAGGAGGTTGGCAGATGTTTTCCACTACTGGTGGTGTTTCTGCAGTGTGTGACAACAAGCGGAGTGGCTGCGTAGCATGGCCGGGGCAGAGGCTGTAGCGGTTTGGAAGAGGCGGAGGAGGGCGAGGCTTTGCAGTGATCTGGGTGTCTGCAAGGTGCTGCAGCTCTCACTGGCTGCTCTTGAAGTGAAGTTTCTAGAGTGGAGCGAGCGCTGTGTAGTTGCTTCCGGACACCAAGACTGCCAGCTCCTGGATGGACATCTCCTTGTTGAGGTAACTGTCGTACTGGGCCGCCGTGAGCCTCCCGCTCTTCAGGGCGTCCTCGATGGAGAACTCCCTGCCAGACTTCCTGTCCAGGATCACAGACGATTCCCCGTTGGGACCCTTTATTGAGATCTCCTCCCAGTCACATTCCTGGCTCTTCAGTTTGACAAACAGGCTCCATTCAATGAGGCCAAACACGTGAGCTTCCTCTGGAGACATCTCTTTCCCGGTGTCGGGGTCGATGACCACGATGGAGCGCCTCAGGTGGTTCTCCCGCTGCTCCCTCTTGATAGCCACTGTCTTCAGGCGATTCTGAAGTTGCTCAATCTCTGCATCTTTTTCTCTGGATAACTGCTTCAGATCCTCTAACTCTCTTTCCAAAGCTT